ATCACAATCCATAGATTAGGATATCTCTAGTTAGATATCTATAGTAGATTTCATGATATCTTTATTAATATAGTATATTACATTCATAAATTTTGTTCAAATTTATAGATAAAACATTTTCCTTCATAAAATGTCGGAATATTAAATTCTGTATAAATATTTTCAATATTCTTTTGTTCAAATTCTATCAATTTATCTATATCAAGTTAATAATTTATAAATTTAGTTTTTTACAAAGAATTTATATATATTTTTATTTATATATAAAAAATGTTATTTATTTTAATTATGGTAAATAAAAATAATATAATATATATATAATATAATATAATATATTTTTACTTTATACTTTACAAGAACAGGAAATTTCTTATCATAAGTCAAATTACATATTTCTTATACATGATAAACATTATTACAATTATTATAATTATTTTCAATTTGAAATTTTTTATTTAAATAATTTTTATAAATAAACTAATAGAAATTGACGCTTAATAATAACACAAAATAAAGCATAAATTTTATATTAAAATTATTTATGATTACTAAGAACAATATAAACGAAATTATTTTTCAAACTTCTCTAATAAAATAAATACATTATTATTATATATATATTATATATACATTATTATATATTATGAAAAATATTCTGTACGTATTTACATATTTTTATATATCATAAGCAACCTAATATTTAAATAATTCTTTCGCTCAAAATAACAAATTTTGAAATAATGTATTAACTTGATAAAATAATTCACAAAAGTCTTCATACATTTCATACAAAATTTATGAACAAAGTTTGATTAGAATTAAAATTTTTATTGATATTATTATATTAAAACCAATAAAAATTCTGATTTTAATCAAATTTTGTGAATACATAAAGCATAACTAATGAAAATTAAGTTTTAATATCTTTTTCATTTTCTTTATAATTATAATATAAAATATAATCTTATTATAAAGTATAATCTGTAAAGTAAAAATTAATTAAAATAAGTAAAAATTATAAAAAAATAAGTATAAAGTATAATTAAATTTAAAAATTGTCTGTTTTTAAAGTTAAGTTGCTCTTGCATAACTATTGTAATATTCCTATTTTGAAATTGTATTCGAAACATGAAAAATTTTGAATATTGAATTCACCCTCTCAAAAAATATTACTTCATGTAAATAACTTATCCTCTTCATATTATATATATACAAATTTTCATTAAAAATCAGAATTTTTAAATTAGTCGAATTTTCTCATAAGATAATTGATTATGAACAACTTTTGCAATTGATTTTAAATTACAGAAAACACAAGATACCTCGAAATTTATTTTTAACTTGATATCAATGAAACAATGAAAAGAAAATTTACCAAGCAAAAAATTGCAAGGGAAGCTATATTATACGAGGCTCTATTTACAATATTTCGCTTCGATTTCAAGCATTCTCCTAACAAAGAATCATCGTCTTCCCGCGCGCTACAAGAATTTATACCTACGAAATAAATGCGACCAGTGGACCACGATGAGATTTCCTCATCAAACATTTCCTATTCCAGGTGTGGTTCAAGAACCGACGTGCCAAGTGGCGTAAACAGAAAAGGGAAGAGCAAGAACGTATGCGGAAACTTCAGCTGGAGCAACGTCAACGGGCCGACGACAACGTGCCAACGCCTACAGTCAAAGTACCCGAACATTTGACATTAACCAGGCAGCAACAACAACAACAACACGAACAGGACACCGACAGCTCGGATCTCGAAGTGGCGTAGTCAAAATATTGGTTGTAAACTCTTCTTTTATTCTTCTTTGTTTTTTCTTTTTTTTATTATTATTATTATTATTTTTTTTTTCTTTCGTTTTTATTTCTCGTTGACGACGATTCAAAACAGATTCAAAACAGACTGGTTTTTCCCTGTTACAGGGGACAAACGTGTGTAAATACGGAATTAGGATGTAAATATATTTGTACATACAGCTTACGATCGATGTGTAAAATATAGGTAGTGAAATAAATTATTGATTCCCAGATATGAAACGAGAATGGGATTTTATTTTCACTCTTCCGTTCTTATTCCTTCGAAGATCGATTTAAGTATTTAACGTTAGATTGTAGGTTGAATAGAATGATTTATAATGAGATATTGGTAATTATAGAATAAAAATATAGTTTTATATTTTATCTTGAAATGGAAACTAATTTCAATAAAAATCGATAATTAGATTCAGGAATTTAAATATTGTAAAAAATTTTATGGTAAACGATTCAGGTATTATGTCGCCATCAAATGAATAATTAAATTATTATTTTTTTTGTCTTTATTTATCTGTAATAATTTTTTTTCAAAATATGGAAAAATATTTGCTGAAAATATTATTTCGTAAAATAATTTTTTCATTTCCATTATAGAATATAATAGAAATAGAAATAAATACTAAGAAACAGTGATTAATGAGATTAATAAAACAAAAATTTCATTGTATTTAAAAAATATAAAAGTATAAATATTTATAAAAGTAAATAAAAGTATTAAGTTTTTATATTAACGAAAAATTAGAAATATTTAACAATTAAATAATAATTTATTATATCTAAAAGTTGATTATTAGATTTATATTTTGATTAATATTTTTTCTATTTTTTGACAATTTATTCAAAAAAAAATTAACATAAAATAATTATCTCTTTATAAATCTTAATACAAATAAAATTAAAAAATATCTTTAAATTATTCAACGACTTTCGAATGATCATTAAATCATTATTAAATCTTTGTTAATGATTAAAAGTAATTCTAGTTCGCAAATTTTTGTATTACAGTTTCAATGCAAATCTAACACATGTCATACATAATCATACACTGAGAAATTTCATTGTAAATTTAAAAAAAACTATTTAAAATTATTATTTGTTAATTTATTAAATTTATTTAATAAATTTCACAACTTAAATCGATTAGAAGATAGCTAAAATATTTAAAAAATTTTCTATTATCCTCTAATTACTTTATCTATATATTATTTCTTTATCCACTGATCACTTTCACCAGAGGAATGTATCCTGCACGACTTTCACGTTACAGAGTGGATCAGTGATTAAAATCCCCGGGCAATTTCCACGAACGTTGTAGTTGAAACTTAGTTCTACGTGCCTTGACGATTATATTATTAGTATTGTGCGATAGGAGTGAAAGAGCAGTTAGCCGGTTCATGGACACCGTAAGTTACACGAGAGAGGAAAGTTTGAACTAAGTTCGGGTAAGTACATAAATCCGGGGGGCGACCAAGAACTAAGACGTTCTATTGCGGTACAAGTTTAATAGATTCCGCGCTGTTGTTGTACTGCAATCTAAAGACGATCGACTTAAATCCAATTCTTTTTCTATTTTTCAAATTTTTTATTCGAAAAGTTTTTGTAATTTTTTCAAGATCTCTTTTTTGTTTGTTCGAAATCGAATATTTTTTCTTTTCTTTTTAGTCTGTCTTGATAATTTTCATTAAATTCTTGAGATGTAATACTTTTCATAGCGTGATTGAATAAATTGCAGATTTTTACAGAACTAAAGAGCAAACGGGTATAGGATAATTTCTTATGAAAAATTTGGCCGAATTCTATATATAGAAAATGTTATATTATGCAACATATATTAGATTTTTTAGTATTCAGACTGGAGATTTATAACTTCAAGCAACATTTTTCTTTGCAAAAATTTTCGTTTTGGCTTTAACTAACTTTTACTAACGAGTTATTAATAAAAAATTATTAATAGATACAATATGTACAATACATATATATATACGTGCATAAAATGTTTTAATATTTTATATTGTATATTACTTATATTAAATATATAATTAACATTATTTTCTTTTTCAAAATTTTTTTAAATTAAATTGCTATTATTTGTTTCATATCTTATCATATTATTTTCTAAATTATATATTATTGCATAGATATTTCTTTTTTATTTCTTTTATTATTAACATTTTAGTGTTAACTAAATAGTTGTAAATTTATTACAAAAAATCTGTTTACTACGCTTGATATTTAATAATATATCATCTGATATGCATTTATATTATTTATAAATAAAAGTAAAATATTTATTTCAAATCTGATTTAATAATTAATAAAAAAATAATGAATAAAAATTATTGCATATTTTATTCGTATAAGTAATTTTGGGGAAAATTTCAAATGGTAGCGAATAAAAAAAATATTATTGATTGATGTACTTTTAAATTTTGTGATTAATTGCTAAAATTTAATTGTATGAATTTTCCGATTAATTCAGTAATCTTTATCAAGATTATTTGCATGTTCGATTAATGTAATTTAACGAAATTTAATCCGTTTGCTAAATTAAGTTTTTTAATTTATTAACCTTTTCAGATTTTAATTAACTTTTACAGTTAATAAAATTTTTGTGAAAGAGATACAATACTATTACAATTTTAAATTATAATAAATATTTCATCGAAAAGAAATACATTTATTACTTTGTAATTATTTAATAATTATTTAATGTATTATGTTGCAAATAAGCAACATTAATAATGATCTTTATGTTTCATGAAATAATTTTGATTGAAAAATTTTGTTAGAATTTTTATTATAAATACTAAACAAAGTAAATTTATTTTGAAAATTTAAAATGGAGTTTAGTAATAACTGAAATATTACTTAAAAATAATTTTCAAATAATATTTCAACGTTTTAATGCCATTATTAACCTTTCCAGATTTTAATTAATTTTTACAGTTAATAATATTTTTGTGAAAGAAATATAATGTTATTTTACAATTTTAAATTGTAATAATATAATAATATTTCATCGAAAAGAAATACATTTATTACTTTGCAGTTATTTAATAATTACTTAATGTATTGTATTGTAAATATGCAACATTAATAATGATCTTTATGTTTTAATTCACTACGTATCCAATAAATTCAATTATAGTATTAAAAATTATAAAAATTCTCAAAGTTTTTTAATATCGATTCTTTATTTTTTTCAGATTAAAATATGTATCATAATAATAATAATTCAATTTAGAGACAATTTCATAAAGAATTCGAACTAAATTACTCTTTACATTTCTCACAAATTTACATAACAAAATGTACACGTTCACAACAAGATAATTTAAAAGAGAATCAACGATCAGTTTGATTTTTACAACACAATTTATCAATCGTTCGCATTGTTTCCGCCCTCTTGTGTTTCCACCTTCTCATTTGTTTTTTCTTCTCTTCGTCATACGGGCACTCCGTTTTGGGTATCCTTTTACCCCTATCCTTCTTGTCTCTTGTAACGGGGAATACGGATGGACCAACATCCACGACTTTCAATATCTCGATAGGATTCAACGCGAATTGGCTGCATTCCGGTGAACCGATGGTCAATACCAGAACCGTGACGAATTTCAAGAAATACGTTGCTCTCAATAGATAAACGGCTCCTTCACCATAACTGAACAACGGTGGTCCCAAAGAGTTCACGTCGCACATATAATAAGCTCCACAGAATTTGAAGATACCCAAACACGAGCTCTCGCACGTTAAAATGCCAAAATTGTACTTGAGGAACATCTGCTCCATCGATTGCCACAGATATTTGCCCGATTTTGCGTACAATCTACCGCAAATCGCTGGCAAAACCTTCGCCTCGAACATAGTCTCGCCGATCTTGAAATGGCTCATCAAGTATCTGTTCCAACAATTCACGTGACTGTATTCATTTTTGGTCGACTTGAACTCCGCTTCTAATTTACTGTGCGTATAATATCTGTCACCGCACATAACGATCACGTCGAGGATCTTCGAGCTCCAATATTCCGGTGCCATGATTCTGGTCATACCAGCGCAAACCACGTAACAAGCGTACGTTTGCATTCCACGATTCTCCCTCTCGAACATCCCATCCGTGATATGAATCTCGCCCCACAACGAGAACAATTTGTTCGATTCTTCCACGACGTATTGATGCCACCGCATCTTCCCTACCGTAAATTCTTTCCCCTTCTTCTTCTGGGGGAGAGTCAACCCCTTGGCCCAAGTGATCTTATTCAGTTTCAACCATGTTGGCGTCTCGATAGGTTCCTTCAGATCGCCCTCTTCTTGCTCGATCGTGCAAGGATCTCTCATGTCTAGAGGATCGAAGGGGCAATCGTCGATGGTCTTCTTCCTCACGGGCCGCGTAGCTGGCTTGGGCGCCCCTCGTTGCAGCAACTTCAAGTTGTGGATTTGACAACAGAGATGGGTCACGTGAAAGATTTGAATCGTGAAAAACTTCTCTTCGAAAATGGCTTCTTCGGTAGTTGGTACCTCTGGCTTCTCTGTTTTTGGTAGATCCGCGGTTTTCGGTTCAGTCACATCCTCTGCTGGTTTCTCTGCTTCTTTAGCTTCCTCGGGAGTTTTCTTTTCATTTTCCGGCTTCTTTTCTGGTTCTTTTTCTGGTTCTTTTTCTGGTTTTTTTTCTGGTTCTTTTTCTGGTTCTTTTTCTGGTTCTTTTTCTGGTTCTTTTTCTGGTTTCTTTTCTGGTTCCTTTTCGGGCTCTTTTTCCGGTTCCTTTTTCGGCTCTTTTTCTGGTTTTGGAGGGCTGTAAACGTAGGCCCTTAATAGAAGGATCATCAGATGTCTTCTGAGCGATTCCTTCGAGCAAAATTTCATGATGCAAGCGTATCCATTGTCGTCCCAATAACCGAATTCGTTGCAACGATATGGATTGTACAGATACCAGAATAGATTATCCTTCCAGAACGCAAGACTGAACCGAGTAGTGCGAATTATACAATTACGATAACGCATTTTTAATTTATCAAACCATTCTTCGATTTTTTTGGTTCCTTTGTGAACTGGCATCTTTTGTCCGTCAGTTATTTTTTCAGACCCGACCTCTAGTTTAACGTTTATCAAATCCTTACGTTCCATGATCATTTTTTGCTTCATGTTCTTCTCCTCGTAATCCCATGGAATATCCGTGACTATTGGAACGTCCTTCAGCTCTTGAATCAATTTCACTTCGATGCTGTACTTGTAATTGTACACCACGATATCGTCCAGCCTTTGTTTCTCCCTGATGTTCATCATACCAATATGGGTGTATAACATCCACGCGTGATCATAGATATAATCGATGTTTGCGCTCCAAGCATACTTGTATCTCGTAAGAATATATATATGTTATGTTAAATAAATTAAATACAAAGTAAAAATAATAAGAATTTATGTTGTAAGTTAATTAAAAGATTTAACTTATGAAATGATTTGATAGAAAATTGTTAGTTTATTATATGTAGTAGATTTGCTAAGAAACTATTAAACATTCCATATAGAATGTTGATAATAATGTCATCGAAAAAGATTTACAATGATATTTTCAATCCATTGATTTTTGAATTTGTACTTCA